CTGCGGATTGAGGTACTGCGATTTGACGGGAAGAATGTGGAAAACTGGATTTATAAAATCAACAAATTCTTTGATCTTTAGCTGGTAGAACCGACGGTACGGCTGTCGGTGGTGGCATTTCACTTGGACGGCGAACCGTCCATGTGGTATCAATGGATGGAAAAGAGCGGATTGCTGACTAGTGGGAAATTTTTCTCCATGAACTGCGTAAAAGGTTTGGGGCGATGATCTACAACGATCCATTGGGCAGAATTGCTAAGCTCACTCAGACAAGAAAGGTCTCCCAGTATCAGGCGGAATTCGAAGGGCTGATGACCCAAATCACGGGGGTACCCAAACCAATGTTTATCGACTTCTTTGTCTAGGGGTTAAAGTTGGAAATTCAACATGAAATCCTAATGGCTCAACCACGAGATTTGGCTGATGCGATGGCAAAGGCTCAGTTGTTTGAGGACCGACATGAAGATTTGTTGGGAAGGCAGAGGGGTGAGGGCCAACGGACTTTTGGACCTCAGGGTAAGACAGGGCTACTGAGCTTACCGACGGGGTACAAACTGAGCGGTCACGGTACGACCAGAGCTGTCACTCCATCGACCACCAGAGGAATTCAAGCCGGGACACCCAAGTTCTAAGTCAAATGACTATCTCCAGCAGAACTCCAAGAGAAACGGGAAAGGGGGTAGTGTTTTACCTGCGATGAAAAGTTCCATGCGAGACACAAGTGTAAGAATCGAGTAATGCTGTTGTGCGGAGATGAAGACGATGGGGTGGACTCGGGGACTTCAGAGTCAGAAAAGGATGAACTGGCGGAAAGACGAGCTTGAGGTAAGCCTTAATACTTTTACCAAGTCGGTGAGCCCTCAAATTTTTCGTATCCTAGCTAGGCATGGAACTGAACCCTTGGAAGTACTAATAGACACTGGGAGTAACAATAATTTTATACAAGAGGCTTTGGTAGAGAAATTAGGGCTGGCGTGGGATGAAACCAAGAGATTTAAGGTCTACATGGGTAATGGTAATTACTTAGTGTGCTGTAAGAAGTGTAAAGAGGTGGAGTTGGAGATGCAAGGTCACTGTTTCAAGGTGGATTTGTTTGTACTGCCCATTTGGGGCTTGGACGTTGTACTGGGAATGCAATGGCTGCGTACTTTAGGTCCCTGTGTGCATAACCACAATGAATTGACTATGGAATTTCAATGGGAAGGGCAGACTGTCAAGCTAGCAGGAAACATTCAAGTTCAGGCCCAACAGGTCATTTTTCTCAGTTTAACATTCTGCTATTGGAAGGGGAGATTAGTGGGGCTTATAGGCTGACATCAATGGAAGTGTTGCATGAGGATGGGGCCACAGAGGTAGTCCAGCTGGAAGACACACTACCGGTAGTAAGGAAGGGGATTATCAGCCAGTTCCGGAGGGTGTTTGAAGAGCCCAAACAGTTACCACCCATCAGAAATGTGGATCACAGGATACATTTGCAGCTCGGATCAACACTAATCAATGTGAGACCATATAGGTACCCCTATTTTCAAAAAGATGTGATGGAGAAGTTGGTTAAGGAGATGTTGGAATATGGGTTCATAAGGCATAGCAATAGCCCGTACTCCTCCCTGGTGTTGCTTGTTAAAAAAAGGATGGTTCTTGGCGCTTTTGTGTGGACTATCGCGCCTTAAATGGGATCACAATTAGAGACCAGTTCCCTATTCCCACGATTGACGAGCTTCTAGATGAGCTAGGATGGGGCGGTGGTATTCTCCAAGATTGATCTCTGATCCGGATATCACCAAATCCAAATGGACCACCGAGACATACACAAGACAGCCTTTCGAACCCTTGGCCTAACGAATGCTCCATCTACCTTTCAAGCAGCAATGAACCTAATTTTCAAACCTTTTTACGACAGTTTGTGATAGTTTTTTTTTATGATATCCTCATCTATAGTAGAAGTCTCGAGGATCATGCCCAACATTTGCGCTTTGTGTTGAATTGCCTAGCCGAGAACCAATTCTTTGCTAAGGGGAGCAAATGTCATTTTTTTCAAGGAACGGTAGAGTATTTGGGTCACCTAGTGTCCTGAGACGGGGTGAAGGCAGACCCTTCTAAGATCGAAGTGATGGTAGATTGGCCGCTGCCACGGAACCTCAAGCAATTGAGGGGGTTCTTGGGGCTCACAGGATATTACCGTAGATTTGTTGCTCACTACACAACAATCGCGGCCCCACTCACCGAGTTGCTTAAGAAGGATAGTTTTAAATGGACAGAGGACGCCTCCAGAGCCTTTGCAAGGTTAAAACAGGCCATGATAGCGACATCGGTGCTCCATCTACCCAACTTTACAAAGGAATTTGTAGTCGAGACGGACGCTTCAAACGTCGGGATAGGCGGAGTTCTAATGCATGTTGGGCATCCCCTGGCTTATTTCAGCAAGAAACTCAGGCCACGTTTGGTGGGAGCCTCGGCCTACATAAGGGAATTATGGGCAATGGTCGACGCCGTAGCCAAGTGGCGGCAATATCTGCTCGAGCGACATTTCATCATTCGGATGGATCACAGAAGCTTGGAGGAACTTTTTACCCAGGTAATACAGACACTGGAACAGCAGCAGTACCTAAGGAAGTTGATGGGATACAGGTTCACCATTGAATATAAGAGTGGCAGGGAAAATGCAGTGGCAAATGCTCTTTCGCGGCGACATGAAGAGCCAAGTATTCAACTCCAGGCAGCCATCTCAGTAGGCAGGTATGATTTCTTGGCTGACTTGAGACGTGAAAATCAGGAATGTGCGGATTTGTAGGAACTAAACAGGCAGCTGCTCAGTAGAATTGGACTTGACCCCTGCTATAGTACTCGGGATGGCCTGTTACTCTATAAAGCAGGTTCCTGATTAGCAGGAGTTCGCACTTGAAGAAAATGCTTCTCCAAGAATTTCATGATACGCCCATGGCCGGGCACGTAGGAGTGGAAAGGAACTTCTTGAGGTTGAGTGCCAATTTCTTTTGGGAAGGTATGTGGAGGGAGGTGAAGGATTATGTGGCCTCTTGTCTCATTTGTCAGACGGTGAAGTACTCACCTACAGCCCCTTATGGTCTCCTTCAGCCACTGGAGATCCCGGAATGTGTATGGGAGGATTTGGCCATGGATTTTATAGTTGGGTTACCCAATTCCCATGGCAATACCAATATTCTGGTGGTGATTGATTGCCTCACCAAATATGCTCATTTCGGGTCCTTGCCGACTCACTACACCGCCACGAAGGTGGCTGACATGTTTTCTCACATGGTCATCCGTCTACACGGCATGCCTCACACCATCGTGTCTAATCGCGATCCGATTTTCACAAGCGCCTTCTGGAAGAAACTATTCGAACTGATGGGCACTAAGCTGAAGATGAGCTCCGCCTACCACCCACAGACGAACGGGCAGTCCGAAGTGACGGTATGTGGAACAGTACTTGTGGGCATTCACTGTTGAGAACCCAAAGCAGTGGAGTAGGTTCCTTTCCTGGGCTGAGTATCACTACAACACTAGTCACCATTCCTCTATCGGCATGACTCCCTTTCAAGCCGTTTACGACAGACTTCCACCAACGATTCCTGCCTATACTAGAGGGGCAACCACCATTCAGGCCGTGGAAGAGGATCTTCTAGCTCGTGATGCAATCCTACAATAGCTGAAACAGAACCTTCCCTAGGCTTAACACCGGATGCAACAACAAGTCAACAAGAAGCGTCGGGACATGCAATTCAACATAGGGGAATTGGTATTGGTTAAGTTGCACTACTGTCAAACCACCGTCGTGACATGGTTCAACTCCAAGCTTTGCCGCCATTACTTTGGGCCCTTTCCGATCATCACTCAGGCCGGACCGGTGGCTTATACACTCGAGCTGCCTCCTGGAAGTCGAATCCATCCCACCTTCCATGTTTCCTTGTTGAAAGCTTTCAAGGGGGACCAACCAGACAAGAACTATCCCTTGCCCGAGCTCAGCCTCGCCAATAAGCCCTTACTCATACCAGTGGCTGTGCTGGCTGGTCGACTTATCATGAACCAACATACACCCGTGAAACAGGTCTTGGTGTAGTGGTCTCATAGTACACCAGAGGACTCGACTTGGGAGGAACTCTATGCTTTTAGTCAACTGTACAATGTGCCCGACCTTGAGGACAAGGTCATTTTTGAGGGAGGGAGAAGTGTTAGCCAAGCCCAAGTTATTTTGGACAGTAGCTCAGTCTAAAAGCAGATGAGAAGTTGGGCTAAGCCTTTGGCCCATGAAGGGGAAACCAATCCTGAAGCATCAGGGGGAACAAATGGGAGAGATCGAGAGGGAGCTGCGGTTCTCACGAGGGATCTCGCGAAGGAAGGCAAGAAGGGGAATGAAGAGGCAACGCGTGAGACCCCATTGGCTGAAGGAGTTTGTTATGGCAGAGCAACGATGAGCTAGGCGTGGATTCTCAAGGCTCTTAACCGAATTCTGTTATTTCATTTGTTAGTTTTCCATTTCCATTTTCAGATCAATTTGTAAGAACCATATATAAGCTGTTGCTAGACAATTTAGAATTATGTTGAATAAGAAATTGATTATTGAGAGTAGATTAACACTGCCTCGAAGAGTGCGTATTATTTATACTCTGTTTTACCTATTATCTACATTCCAAAGGAAGGTTCGTGCCAAGTTTCTTTATATTTTTATTTTTAAAAAGCTGAGATAGGTGATTAGTAGCTTTTGCAGAAAAGTTGTATCCCTTATCAGAGCAGTTTTCTTTATTCCGTGCAATTCATGTCAGGAACCACTAATTGTTACTTTTAAGTTCATTACCCTTGATATGTACACTTAGTTAATTGTTAGAAGTTTATGATTTGCTTATAGGTTTCACTTAAATCTTTTATCAACAGTTTGTGCTTGAAAAAATCAACAGTTGGCCTAGAACGTTCCTCGTCTTAAATTTGTTCGACACATAAATCTCAGCTTGCAGTGGAGTGCATTTTTTGCTCAGCGTGGATTCGATTTGTGGAGTGCTGTCCACAGGAGGGACTTACTGGTTAGGTCATTGCATTGTCATGTTAGTTTTCTGTCATAATTTCCTCGTCCTGTAATTGAACTGTGCTTGTCTTCTTTGCAGAGAAGCTTTGGTCTGGACTTGAAAATTTTGTCTTTGATTGGTTAATCAATGCTGATAGGTAAGGCCGGTTTATGGTGTCTGAACTATTATTTATGTCGTGAAAGTTTTGGCCATATGAACATAAGTTGCTCTATTTGCAGGCTTGTTAGCCAGGTTGAATACCCATCCTTGGTTGATCTTCGGGGGCTTCTTTTGGATTTGGTTGCTCAACTCTTAGGTGCCTTATCTCGCATCAGGTAACTAAATCTGGCATTAGATTGGTGGTGATCATACTATTGCAGCGGGAAAAAAAAGTACTATGATTTCATTCATTGCTAGTTGGCAATCATCAAATTGAGGTTTTAAATAATTACTTCTAAAATCCACGTTGAGTTCGGGTTTCTCTTTGTAATATTATGCTCTTAAAGCTAATCAACATCTTTATCATTTACTCCTCCAGGATGGTAAAAAGAAAATGTAAGTGATATATATGTTGGCAAGAACTATTCCTTTCTGAAATGATATATCAATGTATGTATTTACGTGTGTGTGTATGGATATCAATATGTGTATTTTGAAATGATATTTTTATTTGCTCATTTTTCTTGTGTTATGTGGTAAAATAGTTATTCCTTTTTAATCACGTGTTTTATATTCAAGCAAAATCATGTGTGTTGATTGTTCTTTATTTGTAGTTCTATAATTAATTATCATTTGGCTTAGCCCGTTTCTTGACATGAAATTTCTCAACAAATTTATCATATTTTCTTGCAGATTTTTGAGAAGAACCCCACTAAAATTGATAATTATGGTATTTAACTGCGTTATCAAAGCCGAACTGGGTACCATAATATGTACAAGAAGTTCTGTGACACCACTCTAAATGGTGCCGTGGAGCAAATGTACAACGAAATGGCTTCTCGCCACAGAGTCAGATTCTCATGCATTTAGATTATCAAGACTGCAACTGTCCCTGCTAAGCTTTGCAAGAGAGATAGCATAAAATAATTCCACAACTCGAAGATAAGTTTCCATTGGTGTACAAGAAGGTCAGGCCACCAACTAGGAAACTGAAGACCACATACAAGGCATCAAGGCCCAACTTGTTTATATAACTTAGTCATTTGACGATTAAGCTTTTAACTTGTTTATGGAATGTACATTTTTGTTCAACAAATTGATTACTCACTAATGCTTCTTTTAGTTGCAGTTATATTGTGAATGAAGAAATGAAAAAAAAAAAAAAAGAATTAATTATAATAAATTTTTTGTAAAAAAACTCAAAATCATAGCATTATGTTTTTTTTAAAGTTAAACAAGTATTTCTAAATACCAAAAACAATTATATATATTTAAGTTTCATACTATGTCTATTTTGGTCATTTTACATACCGACAACAATTCAACCTCAAAATTTACCAAACGCTATTACACTGATTTTAGAACCAACACAGCTACTATAATTACAGTTTATCAAACACTCAGCTACTTCTTGTAACAGCTTATTCTTCTTTCAGCACAGCTAAAAGCAATTTTTTTTTAAAATCCACAACACTACCAAACTAAGCCCATGTCTTTTAGTCTCCTTTTTTTTTTCTCAAATGAATGCTGACACTTCAGGTGCATTTGAAATTCATTTTTACTTGTTTTTAAAAACATTTATGCACGTCTTTTGAGGCAAAAAAATGAAAATGGTCTACAAACTATGTTTATTTAGCAAAAGTTATCTAGATTTTGGAGGACATACTTCGCGCTTGCATTCTAGATTTTGGTGAAAACTGGAAGAAGTATCTAGCTGAGTTTTCCTACAACAACAGTTATCAGAGTAGCATTGGGATGACCCCATTCGAGGCGTTGTATGACAGACCTTACAGATCGCCAGTTTGTTGGCTTGAGTCAGAGGATCGACTGACCCTTGGACCGGATGTTATCCAGGAGAATAATGAAAAGATAGCCCTGATCCGGGAATGACTGTTAACGGCTCAGAGTCGTCAGAAGAGTTATGCTGACAGGAGACGTAGACCTTTAGAGTTCTCAGAGGGCGATTTTGTCTTGTTAAGAGTCTCACCGCGCAAAGGAGTTACTCGTTTTGGTGTGAAATGGAAACTCGCGCCGAGGTACATCGGCCCATTTCAGATCACACAACGGGTCGGCGTCGTTGCTTACCGCCTCGATCTTCCTCCAGAATTGTCTCACGTGCACAATGTGTTCCATGTTTCCATGCTTCGGAAGTGTCAACCCGATCCAGAAGCCATTGTGCAATGGTATGACGTGCCGATCCAATATGACACGACGTACGAGGAAGCACCCGTACAGATTCTTGACCGGAAGATGAAAAGCCTACGTCAACGCGAGATACCGTTAGTGAAGGTGTTATGGCAACACCATGGCGTTGAAGAAGCAACGTGGGAATTGGAAACAACGATGCAGGAACGATATCCGTATCTGTTCATATCGTGAGGTAAATTTCAATTTCAGGGACGAAATTTCTTAAGGGGGGTGGGATGTAACGCCCTCCGGAATTAAACTTGTTTAATTATGGTAATTGTGGTTTATTAGTGTGCCTAAATTGATTTCTTAATTAATCATGAACTTTTAAATTTATTTTTGGTAATTGCAGTTTCACCCCTCTTTACTTTTATTTGTCTTTCTTTATTATTTATTTTCCTCATTTTATTTTCCCTTTTCTTCTTTTCTTTTCCTTCTTTCTTTCCTTTTTCCCTCCTCTCCCATAACCCTCTCACTCACTCACACTCTCTCTTAGTCTCTCCCTCTCTCCCTCACCGAGCTCTCTCTCTCTCTCTCTCTCTCCCCCCATCTCTTCCTCTCTCTTTCTTTCAAGTTTTCCCTCTCTCTCAAGAACGTTCTTGAAACTGATTTGAAGAAAAATGGAGATTTCTAAGAGATTTTCAACATCAAAGCTTGGATCGAGGTAAAACTCTTTGAAACTTACTTTAGATTTTCGGATTCAGCTTTGTGGAACTCGTTTTAGTCAAGTTTGGTGATTTTTAGTTTAAATTTTGTTTTCAAATGGAATCCGAATGGGATTTGGTGAAACCTTGATGAAAATTGGGGGTTTTTGATTCTTTGGACCCTATTTGTTGATTTGAAACTGAATCTATACATTTCCCTTGAGAATGTGTCGAAATCAGACCCAAAATTGCAGGTTTTGGCTTTGTTCCTCACAAATCGGCCATTGTTGGCCCTGGAATTTTTCCCCACCGGTTGACCAGTCCGGTCAACCGGTCACCTCTCCACCGGCTGACCGGTGGAGTTACACTCCTCTGTCACCGATCGACCGGTTCCCACTGAAACTGACTCTAAACAGCCCAGAAAACCCTATTTTGATCCCGAAACTCAATGTGGGATTGACCTAACCTCATTTGAGAACTCAAAATGAGTGGATTAGCCACATGAATCCTTGTTTTCCATTCGATTCTCCGGAATAAATTTCCATTGTCAAATAATCATGATTTGAATTAAGAATTGTTTATGAACATTGATTTTGAACTATGGCACATTAATATGATACAATTGCATCTAATTAAACAAGAATGTTTGGTGAGAAAGATCAAACTCTAAATTGTTGATTTTGATGGGAAAGTTAGTGGCACGATTGGAATTGGAGCCTCGAAGGAAAGCGGAGGCTAGGAGAACGGAAAGCTAAACCAGGTTTGATATCCAACAGGTAGGATATTCTTGTCCATATCCTTGTTAGCCT